AAATGGTATGCCGTAAAGTATTTGTACCTAGAGGCAAACAAAATTATTGCGTTGCTTTTTATATTCGAACACTTATCGCTACTGTAATAAAAATTCCAGGAAACTCAAAGAGCAAATCTTGCTAACAATTATTATTTCCTAACTTTTACGTCAAAATAACTGTTGTCCGGTGGACTCTTAATTTCTACACATAGTGATACAAAAGTTATGGTTTTGATGATTGTATTTAAACATCAAAAAAGTAACTTAAAATTTTCCGCCCGTCCACTCACGTGATGTTAATGTATATCGATTCCTAGTTTATTTATTTTTTTATTAAAAATTTTTAATATTCCTATGAATATTCGTCAAGAAGAAGTTGGGCGCTTGGCATTTCCAAAGAAGACATTTGTTGGTTGGATAGTCACCTTTTTCTTTGCTGAAGACAACGATAATGGAGTAAAAAGCAAGGATGTTCTGCTCAAGCAACGATTGCAATCATTCATTATTTCGATTAATTGTAATAGTTGAGCATCATATCAATCACTATCAATTTACATTGAGAGAGTTGCTTGCGAACACCCTTAATGCTGGCTAAATTTATTCTGGCTGACATTTACTAAAGTCGACCTGCTTTAGATATATTTTGTAACTTACATAAGATCATGTAACTTATGATGTAACTTACAACCCTGCTGATAATGTTTTTTATAATGTTTATGTATTATGATTTTCAAAATTTTTTACGACCCAGAATAGTGGTACTGTTTTTAAATTAAATACACGTAATAATGAAGAAATATTGACTTTAAAAGTTTGTGTAATAAATATTGGTTGTACACTTTTTATAGAAGCTTTTCCTAAAGCCATGTCTTAATACAAAAAAGAATGATCGTAAGCGCTCTCTCTAACCCTAATCTAAAGCCCAAATTTTATAACCATATATTCGAAATTATCGTATTAATGTCTACATACTCATATACAAAAGTATTATTACGTATTTTTGTTATATCTATAATTCATAAATTAAAATAGTTAACGAAACACAAGGTGGAAAATTTCATTCTAGGAACATATGTGCTGCAGTATTATCATTGGAAGGCAATTACAAATAGCACGACTGAATACTGAAGGTTGTACAATTAAATATATCTTTTTTGTCTCGTTTGAAGCGTTCTAATAAACGAAGAATCGATGTTATTTAAAGAAAAAAAAAAAGCTATATATTTTTAGGTTATGAAATCCAAGCATTTTGAATAGATTCACGAAAAAATATTTTAACTTACGTGTGTAATATACATATAGGAAATGATTATAAATCAAAAAAAAAAAGATTAAATTATTATTATTATTTTTTTTTTTTTATTGTTTTAGCTTTGAAAATTTTTCTACAAATTTTGTAAATGTCCATAAACAACAATATCAACAATATTACATAAGCTAGATTATTTTTTTTGTCACCATCGTGAAATAATATTTTGAAGCCCTGAGTCGTCAGATTTAGATAGTTCATTTCGGGCATTAACAACTGTTTTTTATAAATGTGTTTAATTGCTCACAACAATTAGCTGGTCCGCTCAGAAAATAATCAGCATCTATACAGACAATTCGATCTAATATCCGTTGAACACCATCAGTTGCTATAAACTCATCGTTATTACCTATTCTATTTCTAAGTTTGCCAAATGTATCAAATGATATTCGAGAATAAATATTAATATCTGTTGTTGAATTTAAAATTTTCATAGCTTGATTGTAATATTCAGTCAAATGTGAAAATGAATCATTTAATTCTGTAGAGATTTGATAATCTGTTGATAAATAAACATTACTAATTCCGTGAATTTCACGAATATATTGTAATGTATTACTAAGTTGTTTTGCACATTCTGGTAAACTCTCTGGATTCACTCCTTCCATACGCCAATATACTGCAACATATGATTTCAACGCAATTTTAATTCTCAAAGCTTCTTTAATAATATGATTTGCATATGGTATAGCAGAATACGTTTGTGTAAGTATTTCTTTGCCAATATCATCTTTTATCAACAATATTTCTGCATCTGAATCCATTAATTTTTTAATCAACAAAGTTGAGGAGTCGTTCCCATCATTTACTTGTAATAAAACTTCAGAATTAATTAAAATTCGGTGAAATTTAGCTGAATTATCAAATTTAATATCAAATTTATTAAAACAATTGATATGTGTTACTGGTTCAATAATTGGATCGACCTGTTCTAATATCGGCATTAATGAGTCATCATGAGAAAGGTGTAAATGTTGAATACTTGGTTTTTCAAATCGGTTTCGAGACCAATTTTAAAATTCCAACTGAGAGATAAAATTAACTTTGGGAAAAAGTTTTCGTAAAGCATTTAAATTATAATAAAATTCGAAAGGAAATTGATTACATGACTCAATACGTGAACGTCCAACATTAGTCAAAACCATAGTTCGATCGAGAATACCGGCTATATGAGAGAATGTTTTTAAATGTATATTGGCTTTTGATTCTTGTCCTGAATGATAATACATGAATAAAAATCTGCAATCTTTTTCTTTTTTACAATATTTTTTGTTTACTTCTGAATCCGAGAGAAATTTGTCATCGATTTCTTTGATATTTATATTCTTATATAAATCATTTTCATATAAGTCAAGATATGAGTCATATGAGTCATCATTATTCGGATAGATATCTGTAGGAATTAACTTAGTATTATCGTCCTAAAGAGATGAAATTTTGTTTATTGTTTTTAGTGACAGAAATTCGCACGACATAAAAGTAGTACATTTACCTCTTCTAAATAAGATTTTATTTGTACATTTTGCGGAAGTAACATTCTCTGTAATTCATCTTCATAACTTGTAAAAAGCATGATATCAGACATTATAAACACAAATAATAATAATAAGGTTAGTAATTTCATAAACTCGTGAGCGGTAAGGTAAAAAGCCATTTTTCCAAAAATCTTGTAAAAGGGTTCAGCAAAAACGTCATATATATTATCATTAAATAATGCTTAATTTTACTTGTTAAACGGAAAATTTTTTTTTATTAAATGCTAACTTAATTAAAAAGTCGTAATATTAAGGGAGAGATGATCGGTAACGGTAAAAGTGAGAATCATGACTGTTTTAAGCATTATCACATTTTAAAGATTAATGTAATACGAATGTCTATCTTAGATCATATTAATGGGTTTAAATCACATCGCTACTTTGTAATAATTTATTATCGTTATCGTCTGTTGGAATTTGATTAAAAAAAAGCAATTTTAATTGCGATTGTGATTGTGTATCAATGACGTGCATACATATAATTTTTATATATGTTAATGCAATTTCAAACTTGTGCTACGCATATGAACATTTCTTCTTTTTTTTCGTAGGAAAATAGAGGTTTAAAAGGAAAGAAAGTTCCACAGAATTGAAGGCGTCATATACTCGTGCTGCGCTGCTTTTGTAGTGCTTTTGATCTTGCACCCACCACTTCGTTCCACTTGGTTCTGGACAACGCACTTATTTATAGAAAAAAATTTAGGAGTAAGTGAAATTCCATA